CCTTATGTGCGCCAGGATCACCGTTATTGGGGCGAGGTGGGGGTGGGGGTATCTGGAGGGTCACTGATGGACAAGATTCTGAATTCTGAACGAATTAAATTTATGGGTCTAGGTATACTGCCATGAATGTGACTTTTCACTGATCTCCCGCAGCTTCTTTGCAGCCACTTCAGCGATGGCTGGAAGGGATTTCTCAGGACGGGTTTTTCCTGATGGTGACAACGGTGGAACGTGCCTGGGTAATATATGCATGAAATGGCTGCTTGTAGTCTCCATAGGCGGCTCTGTATGCGATTACAGCATGCCTAGGAGCTTCCACTTATCCAGACTGACACCCAGCTATCAAGGCATTTTGATATTTGCATAACTCCTCCCACAAGCCAACCCATTGCTGGTATTAGGGCTCTTGAAAGGTATACTGACAAAGGGTGCTGTGATGTTTTCAGGAAGCTATGTACAGCCTCCTGCTGGCTCCACCCACCAGCCATGATTGCATATAGAAGCCCAGAGACACTGCTGCTGATCTCCTGTCACTTCTTTCCACCCATTCGTATGTAAATATCATAGATGAGACTATTTTCAGTGGGGGGGCCCAGTAGCCCCTATCTTAGTTTGGTTGCCCCTGTCTGCCTGACATGTTGTGTCCGGGTCTCTGCTGCCATGAAACCCGGACACAGCATTCAAAACCCAGACTGTCTGGGTGAATCTTGGACAGGTGGCAACCCTAAATGGCTCCTTGTTGTCACTCCTTTGGCAGGGTGACAACGCAGGAGCGCTATTGGGAGCAGTGGCGTCACAAGGGTGCACACCATTGGAGGGGTGACACCAAAATGACTGACAGAGCCCGACAGTGTCAGGAGAGAGGAGGGGACCCGGCGGCATACATCATCCCGCCGGGTGAACATACCCTCCTCTCTCTGCCGGCCTCAGATGGCCGCCGGCAGGCGTCAATTAGATGACCGCACGTGAGCCTCTTATTGTTAGGCATTGTCATCCTGTGACAGCAAGTGCCTGAACAAGGACCTTCGTGGCGGGATCGCGAGGGATTATTTTAATGAAAGTTGCAGATTTAAAAACATTTCATTAGTTTTATTTAAGGAAGTGTGTGCAAACAAATGATTGTGCTGATCTTTTCTCCTAGGGTCAAAGATAAAATGAGATTTATAAGTATCAATATTAGTTTTAGGAAGTGCAGCATAGCGACCAATAAGAATCCCTTTGGAAGTTGGCCTGTCATTGGTCATACAGAAAGACTTCAGAAGGAGCTCTGCCAATGACCCTGTGAGGTGATCTCCGGATTCTGGCGGAAGTGGTTTAGAATCAGAAATGTAAGTTTTGTTTCCTTCCAAATTGACATTTAGACAAATTTCTTTAAATTCGCACATTTGGATGCATCTCAATTTAACCAAATACGGCTTTTTTTTTTTCTGAAGCTTAGAAATTTCCAATTCTAATGACCAGTATGGACTAAGAGGACCAGTACGGACCAAGAGGACCAGTAAGGACCAAGAGGACCAGTACGGACTAAGAAGACCAGTACTGACCAAGAGGACCAGTAAAGACCAAGAGGACCAGTACTGACCAAGAGGACCAGTACTGACCAAGAGGACCAGCACAGACTAAGAGGACCAGCACAGACTAAGAGGTCCAGTACAGACTAAGAGGACCAGCACAGACTAAGATGACCAGTACAGACTAAGATGACCAGTACGGACAAAGATGACCAGTACGGACTAAGATGACCAGTACGGACTAGGATGCCCAGTATGGACTAAGATGACCAGTACGGGTTAAGATGACCAGTATGGGCTAAGATGACCAGTACGGACTAAGATGACCAGTACGGAATAAGATGATCAGTACGGACTAAGATGACCAGTACGGGCTAAGATGGCCAGTATGGGCTAAGATGACCAGTATGGGCTAAGATGACCAGTACGGACTAGGATGACCAGTACGGAATAGCATGACCAGTACGGGCTAAGATGACCAGTATGGACTAAGATGACCAGTACGGACTAAGATGACCAGTACGGGCTAAGATGACCAGTATGGACAAAGATGACCAGTACGGCCTAAGATGACCAGTATGGACAAAGATGATCAGTATGGACTAAGAGGACCAGTACGGGCTAAGATGACCAGTACGGACTAGGATGACCAGTACGGAATAGCATGACCAGTACGGGCTAAGATGACCAGTATGGGCTAAGATGACCAGTACGGACTAAGATGACCAGTACGGGCTAAGATGACCAGTACGGACTACAATGACCAGTATGGACTAAGATGACGCAAAAAATGTGTTAATTTTTTATGAAAGTTACTCATCCTAATTGATCTGAACTGAAAACAAAACATTTGGATCGATCCAAATAATAAACCAAATTGAACTTCAAGACTGAAATCCAAAAATCTGAATGGATTCAAAATGAATCACATTTTTTTGATCCTTTACACGTCACATTTTCAGATTTTTATTTTTCCTTACGTCCGCAGTACATGCAAAAGAGACAATCTTCACCCCATGAACAAGTGAATCGTGAAATCACAACACACAGAAAAGACGCGCACGAGGGTGCGTTTGGTCCTCCTCCAAAGCGAATTAGTAGCTCGGTGAATGGTTCTGCTTGCTTACTGAATATGGACTTTGAAACAGTATAATCATACAGGTCACAGTGAGAAGGGACAAGAAGAATCAAAATCCCTCCAACTGAACGAATGAGTAGCAGAGTAAAACATCCTTAAAACAAAAGGTGTCTCACTGCATCACATATCTCAAAAATTAGAGGAATATTCCTCATTTCAGGACAGTGGGTGGAGCCATGCAAATCATTCCTTTATGCCCCACTAGCCAAATGCAAATCCGCTGCTCCACAGTGCAAATATAGTCTAATATTATAGAGCTGTTTATTCCCGAACATCATACAGATGTTTCAGGCTTTTTGCCCATCATCAGTGCAGCGTATGGAAATCATGACTTCTATGGTGGAGAGATGGGACCCAGCGAGACAATATAACCGTACTCTGAAGCCACACATTAAAATTGGCTAGATGACAGAGTAGCCCGGCAATGCAAGTGTTAACGAGAAAAGACTGATTTTTTCCTCTTTTTTTTGTAGTTTAGTACAAAGTAATAAAACCGTGTTAATGTTTTAAACGCCCTGTGTCTGTGTATAATGTTCCCATGTATGGATTCAATCTATTTGATTGCAGTTGACAGTTTTGCTAAACCGGGGTGACCCCGAGCTGATTTTAGAGAGTCATAGTACTACGGCAAAGCAAGTGTTAATGCTGACAGTGCAGGGGTTAATACAGGCGGTGAAAGGCTTATTATATATGGCTAAGTAGGGGTTAACGAGGCAGCGGAGGCATTCATTTGGCAATGTAGGACCTCATATGTGGCAGGGCAAGGGTTAATAGCAGGAAGTGCAGGGGCTGATAAGTGGCAGTGGAAGGCGTTTAGGGCTGGCAGTGCAAGCATTTAGGTTTGCAGTGCAGGGGTTAATAAGTCAAAGGGAGTTTAATGATAGCAGTGGAGGGGTTAATGTCAGCAGCGGTGGGTTACAGTCAGTGCAATAATGAATATGTGGCTGTAGAGGGTTTAATGCCATCTTTCCAGGAGTTAGTATGTGGTAGTGGAGGGGATAACGTTGGAAGTGCAGCGTTTATGCTGGCAGCAGTCTATGGGGCTAATAAGAGGTGCCAGTGAAAGGGGTTCATTTTATCAGTAGAGTGTTTAATCCTGGCATTGCAGGGGTTATAAAGTGGCAGTGACAGGAATAGATTTTGCAGTGGAGGGTTACAATGTGGTAGTGGTTAGTATGTGGCAGAGAAGGGGTTCGTATGTGGCATTGAAGGAGTTAATATGTGCCAGTGAATGCGTGCCACTGTATGTGGCAGAGAAGGGGTTAATATGTGGCATGGAAAGGGGGCTAATATGTGGCAGTGAAGGGGTCAATATGTGGCAGGGAAGGGGTTAATCTGTGGCAGAGAAGTGGCTTAATCTGTGGCAGCGAAGTGGCTTAATCTGTGGCAGCGAAGGGGGTTAATCTATGGCAGACAAGGGGTTAATCTGTGGCAGTGAAGTTAGTATGTGGCAGTGAAGGGGTTAATCTGTGGCAGTGAAGGGGTTAATCTGTGGCAGTGAATGGGTTAACATGTGGCAGTGAAGTGTTAATCTGTGGCAGTGAAGGGTTTAGTATGTGGCAGTGAATGGGGTTAGTATGTGGCAGGGAAGGGGTTAGTATGTGGCAGTGAAGGGGTTAATCTGTGGCAGTGAAGGGGTTAATCTGTGGCAGGGAAGGGGTTAATCTGTGGCAGGGAAAGGGTTTATCTGTGGCAGGGAAAGCGTTCATCTGTGGCAGTGAAGGGGTTAATCTGTGGCAGTGAAGGGGTTAATCTGTGGCAGTGAAGGGGTTAATCCGTGGCAGGGAAAGGGTTAATCTGTCGCAGGGAAGGGGTGAATCTGTGGCAGTGAAGGGGTTAATCTGTGGTAGGGAAGGGGTTAATCTATGACAGTGAAGGGTTTATTCCGTGGCAGGGAAAGGGTTAATCTGTCGCAGGGAAGGGGTGAATCTGTCGCAGGGAAGGGGTTAATCTGTGGCAGGGAAGGGGTTAGTATGTAGCAGTGAAGGGGTTAGTATGTGGCAGTGAAGGGGTTAGTATGTGGCAGTGAAGGGGTTAGTATGTGGCAGGGAAGGGGTTAATCTGTGGTAGGGAAGGGGTTAATCTGCGGTAGGGAAGGGGGTAATCTGTGGTAGGGAAGGGGTTAATCTGCGGTAGGGAAGGGGTTAATCTGCGGTAGGGAAGGGGTTAATCTGTAGTAGGGAAGGGGTTAATGGTGGCAGCGCAGCGGCACGCGCACTCTCAAGCAGTGTCTAGTGGAGTGGGCGGGGAGGGGCGGGGGGGGGGCGGTCCCGGCAGTCACGAAGCTCCGCCTCCGCCCAGCTGAGCTCTATAACAGGGGAGGAGAGCCGGGACTCCGCCACTAACTCACATCAACGAAATGGTCAGCCCGAGAGCCGCAGCAAAATGCTGGATGGACGCCTCTCGCTGGGATGGCTGTCACTGGCGCTCCTAGTCCTCCTCACCGGCGGACCGACCACTGCCTACTTCGGGTAGGTGACCGAATTCCCTGCACTGCTGGAGAGGACCGCCTGTCATACGTGATATCAGTGCTGGACAAGGCTGGACACCGGGGATGATGGTACATTGTAGCAGAGTGGAGGTACCCGGGGTGCTCGGTGCTGAAGAGTGGTGATGCACCTGGCGGGGCTGGACACTTTGTATCAGTGCTGGAGAAAGTTGGATGCTAGTGGTACTTTGTGTCAGTGCTGCTGGAGGCTAGAGATGCCTAGTGTCAGTGCTGCTGGAACTTAGAGATGCCTAGTGTCAGTGCTGCTGGAACTTAGAGATGCCTAGTGTCAGTGCTGCTGGAGTTTAGAGATGCCTGGTGTTAGTGCTGCTGGAGGCTAGAGATGTCTGGTGTCAGTGCTGCTGGAACTTAGAGATGCCTAGTGTCAGTGCTGCTGGAGCTTAGAGATGCCTAGTGTCAGTGCTGGAATGTGCTGTGTCCTGGTAACATATCGTAGTTGTATTGGAGTCTAGTGATACATTGTATCAGTGCTGGAGACCCATGACTATGGCGTATCAGTGCTGGAGACCCATGACTATGGCGTATCAGTGCTGGAGACCCATGACTATGTTATATCAGTGCTGGAGACCCATGACTATGTTATATCAGTGCTGGAGACCCATGACTACGGTATATCAGTGCTGGATACCCTGTTGCAGGAGATTAATACTTTGTATCAGTGTTGGAATATGTTGTGTCTGTGTAGTGCTGGGCACTGCTTGTGATGCTGTCAGTGCTGGAGCCCGGCGATGCTGTCAGTGCTGGAGCCCGGCGATGCTGTCAGTGCTGGAGCCCGGCGATGCTGTCAGTGCTGGAGCCCGGCGATGCTGTGTACTGATCTATAGGAGGAGCTCTGGGTTGTGAAGGGTTAATGTGCTCTGCCTGGCTGTGTGTCACCTCTGTCCCCGCGGCTGGGCAGAGCAGTCACTTCCTGGAGGTCGGTGTCCCCTCTGTGGCAGTCATTCTGTCACTGTCCCGGCTTTTGGCCAGATAGTATTACAGCAGATGCACGCCTGTCTGCGCCTGGCCAGAGCACTTCCCTGGGAGCTGATGGACAGAGCTGCACGGTGTAACCTGCCCTGGGGTGAAGCTGCATGGTGTAACCTGCCCAGGGGTGAAGCTGCGCGGTGTAACCTGCCCTGGGGTGAAGCTGCATGGTGTAGCCTGCCCTGGGGTGAAGCTGCGCGGTGTAACCTGCCCTGGGGTGAAGCTGCGCGGTGTAACCTGCCCTGGGGTGAAGCTGCGCGGTGTAACCTGCCCTGGGGTGAAGCTGCGCGGTGTAACCTGCCCTGGGGTGAAGCTGCGCGGTGTAACCTGCCCTGGGGTGAAGCTGCGCGGTGTAACCTGCCCTGGGGTGAAGCTGCGCGGTGTAACCTGCCCTGGGGTGAAGCTGCGCGGTGTAACCTGCCCTGGGGTGAAGCTGCGCGGTGTAACCTGCCCTGGGGTGAAGCTGCGCGGTGTAACCTGCCCTGGGGTGAAGCTGCGCGGTGTAACCTGCCCTGGGGTGAAGCTGCGCGGTGTAACCTGCCCTGGGGTGAAGCTGCGCGGTGTAACCTGCCCTGGGGTGAAGCTGCGCGGTGTAACCTGCCCTGGGGTGAAGCTGCGCGGTGTAACCTGCCCTGGGGTGAAGCTGCGCGGTGTAACCTGCCCTGGGGTGAAGCTGCGCGGTGTAACCTGCCCTGGGGTGAAGCTGCGCGGTGTAACCTGCCCTGGGGTGAAGCTGCGCGGTGTAACCTGCCCTGGGGTGAAGCTGCGCGGTGTAACCTGCCCTGGGGTGAAGCTGCGCGGTGTAACCTGCCCTGGGGTGAAGCTGCGCGGTGTAACCTGCCCTGGGGTGAAGCTGCGCGGTGTAACCTGCCCTGGGGTGAAGCTGCGCGGTGTAACCTGCCCTGGGGTGAAGCTGCGCGGTGTAACCTGCCCTGGGGTGAAGCTGCATGGTGTAGCCTGCCCTGGGGTGAAGATGCCCCCTGTAGCCTGCTCCTGGGTGAAGCTGCCCTCTGTAGCCTGCTCCGGGGTGAAGCTGTGTAATGTAGGCTAATCGAGAGTGAAGTGGCATGGTGTAGCCTGCTCCGGGGTGAAGATGCCCCCTGTAGCCTGCTCCTGGGTGAAGCTGCCCTCTGTAGCCTGCTCCGGGGTGAAGCTGCCAGCTTTAGCCTGCCCTGGAGTGAAGCTGAGTGAAGTGGCACGGTGTAACCTGTCCAGAGGTAAAGCTGCATAATGTAGATTAATCAGGTGTGAAGCTGCCCGGTGTAGCCTGCCCCGGGGGGTGAAGCTGCCCGGTGTAGCCTGCCCCGGGGGGTGAAGCTGCCCGGTGTGCTCCTCTGTGCTAGTCCCTTCTAGCAGCCTTGCAATGTATCCTCCGGGCGCACAGCCTGTTGCTTGGCTCCGGTGCGTGTTTAGTGTTTGTGTTGTATTATCTGCTCGGTGAAATCTCCCTCCGCACTCAGCGGTTGTAAAACCAGCCCGGGGATTCAGAGGCTGCACCGCGAGCTCTGTGTGTGTTCACAACGCCATTCCCCCGCCAAGATCCCGTCCTCCCATTACAAGGCGTCCTGATGTTGTGTTGCAATATTATGGCCGGGGGATGACACTGTTCCGATCCCCGTCCTTTCGCTCCCGGGAACTCCCGCAAACACTTGCCGGATGCCAGACGATAGCGTGTGCGCAGAGTCCCCGTTCAGCGATCTGCTCGCTCCTCGTCCTCCACGGCTGGCCGTCGATCGATGCCAAAATGTCCAGCTGTTGCCCGTATTTAGCATTACAATGGATCATTGGAGGCTGAGCTGAGGCCGGCCTCGGGTTCCGTCCCGTTGTCTTATCTCCGGGAAATCCGCCTCTTGTGTACACAAACAAAGAACGTTGATTGGGTTTGCTTGGCCGGTGATTGCTGTCATTCTCTTCACCGGCGCTCGGTCCGCGTCTTCCATAAGCGAGCCGGCGCGGTGGTGTGTTAACTTTTCACAGCCGGCCGGCCCTCCTTCCTTCCAGATGTTCACACACCGCCGAGTCTTCCAAAGTCGAATAACTTTGGCTTTTTAAGAATTTTATTTTGCTTCGGTCGTTTTTACCTCAACGGGAAGTGCCGGGTTATATCCTAGATAGTAGATACCTCCGTGAAAGTGTTTAGGGGGGGAGCTGGAAATAACATTGCGGAGACGGAAACCAAATTAAAAGGCGTTTTTGTTTCCCCCGATGGCCGTGGCAATTTTTTTTTTTTTTTGCGGCACGCCGATTTTGGCTGATGGTGGCCCAAGAATAATAGTCACTTTATGTACATTGTCTGAGGGAACTTTTGGACCTGAGATGTTTCCACCGCGTGCTTCGGCCACGGACGGGTTAACCTGGCACAGGTCGGTTTTGAAAAGGTTGATGCTCAGAGACGGCAACGCGTGGCTCCGGAGCGGTTATATCCTCTCCTTCATTTCCTCTGTCCGAATTCTGATGACGGCAACATTTTTAGAGATTACCTTGTTGAGTGTTTTTTAGACATCCTTTTTAAAGCCAGGGGCTAATGTAATAAATCCGGGATATATCGGCAACGTTCTTAGGGGCTGGTAGAACAGCAATATTTAAAGACCAGCACCCCCCCACCCCCCTCCTCCACCCCAACACTAACAACCCTTGTGGTTTCTGGCAAGCCGGGTCGTATGCTGTATCCTTTGGTGAGGTAGTTGGCCCAGAATTCCAACGTCTACCCAACCACGAAGGCCGTTACCAAGCCAATCGAGGCACCACTCTTCTCCACCGTGTAGAATAAACAAATTGGAGCTCCATGTGAGAACGTGACCATCAATATGGTCCGAGGGTGGGAGAAGAAAGGCAAATGTAAAGTGTGTGCCTAACCAAATCTTTAGCTTGAATGGTATGGAAGGAGAAGAGCTCCTGTTGGGTTTTAAGAGCATCTGCTCCTCATAGAGGTTGTCCTTCAAACAAATGGGAGCTTCATCTGAGAACGTAGCCATCAATATGGTCCTGGGGTGGGAGAAGAAACGCAAATATAAAGTGTGTGTGCCCAACCAAATCTTTAGCTTGAACGGTATGCAAGGAGAAGAACCTCTGTTGGGTTTTAAGAGCATCTTCTCCTCACAGAGGTTGTCCTTCACTTAGCTTCATGATGATATTGGTTCCACCAGGCAAACATTGAGGGAAAATCTCCAACAGGGACAAAGACCAGAAGAAAAAATGTTGACGAGGTCTCCAGCCTACCCATACTTGACCAAAAAAGTCTGTATCTGTCCCTGTTGTAGACTTTCATTTGATTCCTGTGAGGTGGAAATGGTGTTACCTTGAGTGTTACGGTTACCATGAGAGTAATTGAAGGAATATCTCTCTAACGGAACCCTTCCCCCCAGATATCAGGTCTATCAGACGGGTCCACCTGTGAGCTTGCAGCATTGCCATTATGGTGTTGAGGGTAGGAGTACTGCTTGGCCTAAGAAGAAAGGGGTAGCCCCTACACCGAAAGCTTTCTCTTAAAATGTTGCCAATAAAAGTGTCCCGGACTGTACTTTACCGAGGGTGGTAGAAGTTGCCGTGAGAAAATTGAAGGCAGATTTAACCTACTTCGCCGATTTTTTTTTTTTTTTTAATTTTATTTTTGATTGGGAATTTTCTTCGCTCTTTATCCTCGGCATTGATTGAAGAAACAAGGAACACCACCTCGATTCCAGATGCAATGCTCCTCGGTCTATCACCTGTTACTAGAACCAGAAAAAAAAAACCTGCAGACATTTTTCTGGCAGTGCCGCCCTGCGGCCAGCAGGGGGTTCCATTAACCCATTAATAAGCCCCCGTCCTCTCCAGTTTAAGGATAATAGAAGCTTGCAGGTGTATCCTGTTCTCAAAGAAAATACAGAACTTTCATGGGAAAGTCTTTTTGTGTTATTCTTCTCTCGCTTTTACTATTCCGTCTTCGGCGTATACTTTTACGTCCTCCCGGGGAGAGGGCAGCGCGTACGCACGTGACCCGTCGTGATCTTGAAA